CCGCTGTTCAGATCACCGTGATCTGTGCAGCGCTGCGTTCTTCTCCATTGCCGCTGCTGAGTCAATGAGAGTCAGCAGCGGCGGTGGAGGAGGCTGGACGTGGCGGGGAGGAGGAGGCGGGGCCCGTGAGGTCAGCATCAGAGGAGGCGGGGCCCGTGAGGTCAGCATCAGAGGAGGTGGGGCCGGCGACGGAGGAGGGAAGACGGAGGAAGAAGAGGCGGACAGGTAAGGAGTGTGACCAGCCCATCTGAGGGGGACCCTGCAGAGCCCACCATAGAGAGTCTATGGTGGGCTCTGCAGGGTCACCCTCAGGTGAGCTATGTGGGCTCTTCAACGGGTGTAACTAGAAATCACAGGGCCCCATACAACATTTTGCTATGGGGCCCTGTGATTTCTAGTTACGCCCCTGACCAGGTGGCATTATAACTGGTTGGTTAAAGGCCAACTCCAAGATTCCCCCTTCCTCCCTGTTTCTTGGAACAATGTCTCCTGTCTCCTTAGGAACAATCCTCTACCCACTCACTTAAAATGTCTGTTACATTATGGGTCCTTTTCCTCCTCTGGTGGAAAGTGGATCATCATTGCTGAAGAGAGTGGAATCATAATGACATGGCACTGCACTCAGGAGCATTCTCCTGTAAATGCAGGATGGCTTAATGATATGCCCCCAGGATGGTGGGTATTTGGAACCGCGAGCTAACAGTAAGTGGGTTGAATGATGCTGTGCGTCATTCAACCTAGAAGATAACTCGAGAATGCAGAGAGAGTCAGTACAGCTTGGATTTTTTGTCTAAAGGAGGTTGTGGGGATTAGGGGGGTTAAGGTTATGGCTGCAGCCATGTCAGTTTTGCTACAAGTTCAGTGTCCTGAAAACTAAAGAACATTACAATAATACTGCTTTCTATTTCATTTAACAGGTCAACAAATAAAAACTGAAAAGAGCTGTGTCAATCAGTGATGCGATATGAGGGTTTGGAGCAAACTAAGTTCGCCCAAGCAAAACTATCACACCCCACTCCTGGTCCAATCAATTGCAGCAGGGGCATTCCCCACTCTTTTGTGACATGTAGCCACGGGGCAGGGAATGCCCTGGCCACCACTGATTGGGTGAGGAGGGGTGTGTGTGTGTTAGTGACAGTTTTGTGTGGATTTGGGTGAACTTGGGCGAATTTGGTTCACACCAAGACGGCACACATCATTAGTGTCTATGTGGTCCATGACACTGAATTTAGCACACCTACCTTCAGCTCTAACAATGAGTGGTGACCTGTGAATACAAACCATAGATTTTCATCATTCCTATCTATATTTTCAGCTCCATCGCCCACCACGCACACTTTTTTTGTGCAGAATAGTTTACTGATTGCAATGTTTCTTGCCTCTGGTGCTTGCTTGTTGTGTGCATACAGTAAGGAAATCTTATGTGCAGGTGTCTAATCAAGGCAACATATAAATGCCTTTGATTACATCAATGTTTGACTTCTTAGTAAAAATACAAATGAGACTCTGGAGTGCTAAAAAAATAAATGTCAAAAGGAAAGTATAGTGGTAGTTCAGTGATGACATATTTCCAGTTATTATCGCAATGTTTACCTTGTAGTACGTTTTTATATGACTAACATTTTATATGTTTGCTTTTCTATATTTGTGTTATTGTACTGAACGTAGAGATTTCTAGATCAGTCATTAGGAGAGACATAGGTTATCAGCTGCAATAAAGCATTCCCCTGCTTAACCACCCTGGCGTTATGATTATACAGGATTTTAGCATGCCAAAGAGGTACATTGTTTTTCATGGAAATTTGTTGTTTTATATTGTAGGCCTGTAATTCTTAGTAAATCTTAGGAATAACTCACTTAAATCTGTCCAAACAAGAGTCCAGTAGACATCCCGGATATGATAAAGTATGAAACACGAAATTAAAAAATTATAATATAAAAAAAAACAGTCCAGTAAATGGGAATTGAATTCTGGGGGCGCTGCGTGATCCGTACCACAGTCAATAGAGTACCAAGTTTACACATCACTGAGCTCGGTCGCTGAATCGCTGTCATCACTTTCAGTGTCTGATGACGAATTTCCCAACAAATCGCTATCACTTTCTGCAAGTGATTCTAATTTACTATCGCTGTTTTCTACATGGTCTAAAACCGCTTTTGACCTAAAGGGACGCTTTTTGGATGCCATGGGCGTTCTAAAGTTTCCAGGCAGAAAGAACAGTAAAAGTGCAGGCAGGGCACTGGACAAAGCTCTAGGGACAAAATTGAAGGGAAATGGTTTGGTACATAAATGTAATCATAGCAGATTACATTGTATTGTGTGTATTCTGTGTAAATGTCATGTTTTCACTTTTGAATTACCCGCCGCCCCCCGCTGTGACACCGAAAACGAAACTGAAAGCCGAATGCCGGCATCGACCGGGCGCACACAGCAGAGGACACCGCGGGCTCGCAGGGACAAGGTAAGTAACACTTTTGTGCAATCCCGAATGTGGCTCGGGGTTATCACTCTTGGTACTGAAAATTGACCCCGAGCCACACTCGGGAATACCGCCAGGGAGGTTAAAGCGGACTCTGCTGTCCTCCATGCAAGGTCCATTTATTAAGTGTGGCCTCCTCCCCAACTTAAACTGCTGAAAAAACAGAGAAGAAAAGCAGCATGCTTTCAGCTTGCAAATGAGATCAGTTTGAAATGCCTCTGAGTTCCTTACCTGTTTCCTGTCTGTGTATGTGGCTGCATGGCAGGTGGGCATACTAGAGTTGTATTTGATAATGCAATCAAAGCTTACTTGAAGAAATCTCTTTTATGTAATGAGTGATGCCTTCTGTCTGCTCATCACTTTCACAACTTCCTAGATTTCCAATGTACGTTGCACTCTTTCCCTGCTGCTTCAGAAGGCAATCTCTATTTCTCAACACTACACATCACATCATGCATTGCTTCCAGCAAGCAATGATAATGTTACATTGTTCAGACATTGAGTTGTAGTCCAGAAGGCAGACTCAGTGAGAGTCGTGACACACCGAAGTGTATATTCACTGAGCTGAAATTGTGTCAGTGGATTGAGGAAGTACATCCCTATGGGCATCTTCAATAAGTAAGTTTAAAAACTTCTAGATTGATATGGTTATTAGGAGTGGAATAGAAATTATGGAAATTCAATACAGAAATACATATTTACTTTAAATTTTTTACCATAGATTACCATTAACCCTTTTGCTGCTACTGACATATGTCATATGACGGCAATATCAGGCCCCTGTAAACAGACTACCGGTAGCTATTGTTTACTTGTGTAAACCTGACTGTCAGCTGTCATTCCCCTGCTACAGAGGCCAGGGAAGAAGCTGGTCAATCACAATCTGTGCTTGATCAGCTTCAATGGGCTGCAAAGGTGATATTAGGGGTCTAATAAATCTGTCATCAATAAAGTGCTATTACATAGGGGCTTGTGAACTAACAAGCCCCTTATGTTATAGCACAGATACAGTACAGGTCCTCTTTATGGACACATCAGATGTCACCTATGGACCCCAAAGAACTTGATAAAGCCAAGATTGTGCTTCATCAGCTTCTTCTCCGGCCACAGCAGCCAGAGAAATGACACACTGAAACCAGAAGTGATGTAATACATGTTGTTTCTGGTTTCAGTAAGCAGAGGGGAGGACAGCTGCTGGAAGTGTGCTGATCTCCTGCCTATCAAGGTCCAGAGACCCGCCATGCTGATCCTGAGCCCGCATGGGGGACTGCAGTGTCTGGGATAGCCAGGGGATAGAGGGGGCACACACACCCCAGCTGCATACAAGCCGTCCAAACCCTTGTATGTGCTGGCTGTACAAAACAATACCAAGATCATGGCTGCAGCAGCCTGGGTCTTGGTATAACCACTTAACGGCCACGCAGTTTATATAGCTGCCTATAACACCCTTTGTATAATCATACTCCAGAGAAACAACTAGAAAGGTAAAATAAAATTCAAAAAAATATGTAAAAATATTTGTAGACATGTTGTTTAAATGTGAACACATAACATAACATACAGTGCAGGGATTCCATATTTGACTGCAAAAGTTAAAAGACACTTTAAATGGCGGGTGACACTTATGTTGCACTGTTGTGGTAATGTATTCTACATTATATCCCCTTGTATCTATCAGTAAAAGTGACACTATGTATAGGATTTGCGACAATGACAGGATTTCACATGAGGCTGTAACTCTTATGACTACTAGCTGACCACAGCCAGCGACGAACACGTGACAAAGCCGCATGGCAGTCTCGGCTACCTCCTGGGTAGGCGTGTCCTCCGCAGCACCATCTGATCACATGACCGGAACTTCCGTTTGTAGCTGAGAAATGGCGCTATCCATGTTTGTGCCGGTGGACAGCTCTCCGGAGGTGTGACAAGGTATAGAGATCGGTCACATCGCTCTGTGTAGCTGTGCTGGGAAGCTCGCCTCATTATAATCAGCTGTACCCGTACACACAAGTAGTAATAGGCTGCTGCTGGACTACAATTCCCAGCATGCAAAACTGACAAGTAATTGATGGGAGTTGTAGGCGCACAGCAGATGTTAGAACAGGGAAGAATGTCATCAGCAGTAAGTTAGGTAATGTTGTCAGGTGTCGCTGATTGTTCTTGTGGAAATATGCCTGAGATTCACAGCTTTCATACTAAATTGATGTTTTCCTGGTCTGCTGGGAGCAATATTTATGGTGTAACATGTGAAAGGTAGAGATGGCTGCCTGATTGGATGCTTTATCGGGGTTCGTTTACACTGGTGTTGCCTAATGCTTAGACAAGGCAATTTGCCTTCTGTACTTTTCTTTCAGTTCACACCAATGCGCTGCGTTAGTGTGTGCGCTTACAGTAAGACAGCTTGTTTTTTTCAGCACATTGTGACACACTACACTGCATTGACGGAAATGTCTTTTTGTGACATTTCAATAAAGTTGAAAAAAAAAAGATAAACAGTGTGATGTGTTGTAACAACTCGTCTCATTGCCCCTACACAACACATATTGAGTGCCTGTTGGTGTGAATAGACCCTTCCAGTAAGTGGGTGCTGACATTATAGGTAGTGTTGTCTGTTTATAGCAGGGAAGATAACATGTCTTTTCTTATACGTCGAACTGCGTGTTCCCTATGAATGACCAAGCAACAGGTGCACTTTACTGCAGAACTCCAGGCATAGTTTTTATTAACCCATGTAGTGGGGCTACCTCTGCACTGTGAGGGTTAAGTGCTCATTGTATGTCTCGGTGCTAAAATAACAAAGTTATACTCGCCTGATCCTCCAAGCTGGTTTGATCTTAGACCGGTCCCTTCTGCCCATCTCCTCCTTCTTCTCCTCTGCAGAATGTTCCTCAAGTTTCTTCACATTCAATACACAGTGTATAGAGCGTGATGACTCGCAAGACCTTGGGACACTACAGAGGAGGAGGAGACAGAGACCGGTCTAAGAGCAAGCCGTCTCTGAGGAGTATAACTTTATTTTTGTGGGTAGCCCCACTGCAAGGGTTAAATATTAACCCCGTAGAGTTCTGCTTTACTTGTTGACCCACAGCTTCTTACATTTATCTTTCCTTCACTCCCAACTGCTGTGCTCACCTGGGGCGAGGGGCGGGCAAAAAGAAGTCCTGTGTAAGCGTACGGTACAGATTGCACAGAGCTCAGTTGTCTCCTGGCTCAGGTTCTGGTATGGTCAAGCCCCAGCACTGTCACATAAGAGAAAGGGGATTGAGTCACCTGCCCCCCACCATACCTGAAAGTACCAGTATCAGCATTAAAGTGTATTTACATCTAAAAGTTTTGAGTAGGATAGTCTCTAAGGCAGGGGTGTCCATTAGGTAGATCGTGATGTACCAGTAGCTCTCAAAGCTGATGCTGGTAGATCACGAAGGGTTTGAATGGCGGCCCCTTTATTCCATTTTAGTATATTTATTTAGCTGTGCACACATGATTACCTATGAGCCTGAGTCTGCTGAGCCAAGCTCCCTGACACCTTTCTGGTGGATATTGGTGGTTGAAGTGCTGCTATGTATTACATCAAAGAATATTAGTTTACACAGCCTGTTGCACAATACAGCAAGGTGAGCCAGGAGTGAGAGGAAAGACAGCCAGGGGAGAGAGCAAGGAGAGACAGCCAGGAAAGAGAGAGTGAGGAGAGACAGCCAGGAGAAAAAATGAGGAATGACAGCCAGGAGAGAGAGAGCGAGGAAAGACAGCCAGGAGAGAGAGGAGAGACAGCCAGGAGGATGAGCAAGGAGAGACAGCCAGGAGAGAGAGAGGGAATTTTTTTTCGTTGGTAGATCTCATGTAGCTCGTCATTTGAAAAGTAGATCTTAACACAAAAACTGTGGGCACCTCTGCTCTACGGTTTTAGTTTTCTTTCTGTGTCCCCTGGGATAGGTTCCCTCTACTTTTATGCCACAGACACATAAGCTCTCCAATACATGCACATTCCCTATATTTAATCATCTCTGCACCACCCTATCATAAAAAACTGGGGAGGGGGATGTGTATTTCTGGAGTGCTGCTTATAGTCAGATGACCAGTGAACCCGTGAATGGCTGTACACTGTGCTTTTTAATGCTGAAATGAAAGATAAAATTATGCAAAATTTTTTTATTTTCACCTCTATATAGTAAACAATAAAAAAGCGGAGCGTGTTATAACCACCACCAAAATAAAGCTCTATCTGTCTCAAAAATGATTCAATATTAGTTTGGGTGCAGTGTTGTATGACCGGGTAATTGTCAGTCTAACAATCACAATACTAAACACTGATATCCTGGTAATGAAGGGGTATTACAGGATAGTACTCAAGTGGTAAAATGCCACAGATACTAAAAGACCTGGTGACCCGGCCATAAATGCAGTCTGCTCCTTGTGGTGAGATGACAACACTACCTCTGCTGGTTTTTATTTCCAGTGTTGTCAGCCCTGCTTGAACGCTTACCTGCTGAACTACAGGAGTCTGTGATGTCCGCAACTCACTCTAGTCACCTCCATTGTTCTTACTATTCCTGGGATTTGTTGTATTCCTTTATAGCTAGTGGTATTCTGCATTGTGCTGTATAATGTGCTTTTGCTGGGTTTTGTAGTCCTCTATAGCCGTTGCCATTGTGCATTCATTGCTGTATAATTTTACTATTTATATTGCACACCACACTATCTTTTTTTCTTTTTTACTTCCACCGGTCCAAGCTTGCTCCTGTGATGGACTGCAACCTCAATACAAACTAGTAGTCCTATCACTGGAGCCATTTTTTAAACTTTATTTTATAGTTCATCCGAGTAACCGATTAATCGAACTTAATAATCGGCTAACTAATCTAATCGATTTTGAAAATAATCGTTAGCTGCAGCTCTATTCACACTTGTAGCACTCACTTCCCACAATTCTCAGCAGTAGCTCCAGCTGCCTTCTATTTCGCCCCTCTACTATCTCAGTGCAGCACTTTACAGGAAGTTAGGAGCTGACTGCATTTCTGGCAGGATCATCAGTTTTTAGTAATTACAGCATTTTTTAAGAAATATAACATGGGGAAATGTGCAAGTATTGTAGAACTGTGCCATATATATTTTAGGACTTACTCACGCATACACTTTAAAGTGAACTTGTTGCTTTGTCCTTAATGGGGTTAGCCCAGGCGACAGTTAATTCAATTGGAAATATAAAGTCTGATTTAATAAAGGCGTTCAGATTGTTTACACAAAAAATTAAGTGAAAATTCAGTTCTCCAATCATGTGAAAAGCAAATCCCTGCATACCTGTTTTATCTGCATGTGATTGGATAATTGAAGTGAGAAAGTTCACTCAATAAATTGTGTGATTGTAGGAAATCAACCTCATTGTGCAGCCAGATCACCACTGTGCACCTGTGCTGAGGACGCAGATGGGGAGAGAATGAGGCCCTTTTCACACTTGTGTACTGGAAACTGGATGCACCGTGGTCTCAGGTGTGATCACGTGTGCTTTTCATGTGTAACATGTTTTATATGCATTTTGTTGTGGTTTTTTTTTTTCTCTTGGGTATTAACATTGTTACTATTTACAGTTGGTTCCTGAAATGCCTCTTGTGGTGCTGTGTGGATTCCCCTGCAGTGGGAAGAGTCAAAGAGCACTGGATCTAAAAAAGCACCTGGAGCAGGCTGGGCGAAACGTTTATATAATTGGAGACCATACCCTTGCTGTTGATAAGAATTCTGTGTATGCAGGTAAGGATTTTACATTTCGTTGTTATTACTTTTGAAACAAAGCTCACAGCTGTATTCAAATGGTTTCATCAAAGTACAAGTGGAACAAGCCCAGTGGTACACATAGGAAGTATTCATTCGAGCAGAAGGAAGCCAAATGGACACAGTCAATACATCCTCATCATTAACCCCTGCATGACCAGGCCCGTTAAACAGAAGGCGCCGGGAGTCTGTATACACTTATAAAGCCGACTGTCGGCTTTACAGTAGAAGCAATTCTGGTGGCTCATGTGCCGCCATGCCCGGGACTGGCTTCTCTGGTGTCGGGGGGAAGCTGGGAAGGAGATCGGCGAACCTCGGTTCACCGATCACCTCCCCGTACTATGGGACCAGTAGCGTTGCAGATTACATCACTTCCGATTCAATCAGATTTGGTACCCTTGGGTTGAAGATTTTTTGCCTTCCACCTTTAATGTTAACTCTTTGACTTTCTAAATCTGCAAGGTCCACTTTGTCTGCTGGACTTTCTTCTTTAGCGGGTCCCCTTCTTGCCCCACTTTTTGCTTCTTTTCACATGCACCTCATTCCGCCTGCTTGTCATTGACACCCTCACCCTGACCTCTCCTGCACCCCCCGTTTTCCTTGTCTCTGACTTTCTCCCTGCTTTTCTACTGTATATGAGCCTTCTACTTTTGAATCACACCGTCCATACTATTTTCAGTGAGTTACGACTTATTCTACCCCACAGGAATTCACTGTGTACCGCTTTGTAGTGAGTAGTCTTGTGCTTCACCTCTTAAGGTTTCATGTATGTACTGCTTCATTTATTGTCTTTGCAATGAAAGTTTGCATACATTATGCAGCAGTCTGTCACTCCACTGCAATTGCACAAAACCTTCATTGCTGCTTTGTAGAACTGTTTTGTGCAATTAAATTTTTTATTATAAACTTGAGTGTACATATATTATTGAGCTATATTTATAGAGCTATGGAAAGTCAAATTCATAATTCACCTTGGAGTTTTAGGGGGTACTCCATGTAAGCAATGAGGTTGCCTGTATTACTTTTAAAAAAATTTGAATGTCCCTTTTTATATACAGTAAGGTACTTGGACCAGACTGTCATCTGATGAGAGGTGTGTGGAACACTGTTGGTACAGACAGGCAGTGCTCTTTAAAGTAGATAGCCTGTACAGCCTGGGCAACTCCATAGCAAGCATGCTAAGGTGACAGTCTAAGGTCTGAGGGGATTAAAGAATAACCAGGGTACTGGACAATTTTCCTTTGTGTTGATGTGATGAGGGAAATCTGCAGTAAAGTGGGCAGGAAGTAACTGATTACCCCTAAAGAGGAAACAAGAATCACTCTGAAACACATAAGTTTGTTTTAACTTTTTTTTTATAAATTGGAGTTTCACCTTTCATCATCACTCTGGTTTCTACTCTCTACCTTCATCAGGTCACACTGACATTGTTTTATGAACTGCTATCGCGGTGATGTCAGGTGAGTCGTTGCATAAAAGTTTGATAATCCTTATCCACACGGATACACTTAGATGCATTTCCATCCTATTTAATAGCAATATTATTTGTAGAAGACGGCATAATATCAGTTTGCAGAGTGGTAAACGCGCCCTTACTATCCAGCTTTGGAAAAGCTTTCTTTATCAGCCTGAATGCCGCGATTGTATTTATGTGTTCTCTCAGCCATGTGAGAAGATGAGCAATATTTTCCTTGTATGCTTTGTGATTTGATCTACTGATACTCATAGAGGCGCCTCGTCTACTTCTTGTGTTTCCAGCACCAATGTTTCATTCTCTCCACTGACCAATAGTGCAAAGTAGAACTTTGTCACCCTGACTACTATTTTAAGGGGGTCATAATCCCACTGACTACCAATTTAAGGGGGTCCTAATCCCACTGACTACCAATTTAAGGGGGTCCTAATCCCACTGACTATCGCTCTAAGGAAGCATTACACTATCAGATACTTGACGGACAGGGTACCGCATTCTGCACAGCAGATGGGAGGGCGTAAAGCAATGGCACCAAGACAGTGATGCACTGAGGTTTAGCCCGGCCCTGGAGATGATGAGCTGTAAAGGAGAAACGTGGTCATGTGACCTGTGACATACTGTAAAAAAATTATGTAAAACTTAAAAAAAAAAAAGAAAGAATAAATTGCTGGTGGTGTGCCCTATCATCTTACAAGGTGGGTTTAATATATGGGTTTACAATCACTTTAATGATTATTACTGGAAATAATTTTGTCATATTGGCAAGGGAAGGATAAAAATACGACCTGCTCTACATGTCCAATACATGAATGTTTACTCTCTGTAAATAGAGGCAAAAACAAACATTCCTAGTAGATTTTCTTTTCAGGTCGAATTTAATGTAATGTAGTACCACATTATGACCACTAGATGGAGCTGAGGAACATGGGGAATAAGTTATTTCTTATCCTTTTCAGCACCATCTACAGACCACAATGCAGCATTGCATTACATTCTCACCCCTCGCTCAGAACAAGCATTCAGAGAGAATCAAAGGGCAAATGGCTCTGCAAATTGTTTATAAATAGACCCCTAGGTATGCCACATTCCTTATTCTTTTATTTATCTTATCTATAACTTCTAATTATGATAATGTACTGTAAGATGTATATTTAATGCTTTTATTTGCAGGGTTTCCCTGAGACCTGAAAACTATTTTAATGTTTCCGGCATGGTAAAACATTTGAGAAAGGTTTCTCTAGTGAAAATCAAAAGTATAGCGCAGGAGAGTTAGGTCGACAGTCAGGTAACTAGCTTTTTCTTAAAAAACTGATCTGATAAAATACATCTGATACCTTTTAAAGGTGCTCGGATTCTATTGACAGTTTGTTAACCATCTGAATCAAACCCATTAGTTAATGTCATGAGGTGTGATTTGGTTTCAAGAAGCAGTTCTAAATTGACAAAAATGAATCTTTGTATAGCAAAGTATTTCTATCATTTTTTGATTTTCATCTCTGCTATAAAGTTCTCCCACAAAAAAGTGAACTTGAGCTGAAATAATAAAGCCATTTTTATGTATAGAGTTGTGGTTTTCTTTGGACTAAAGCTTCCTGTGTGCTATATCAGTTCCCCTAATGACAACTTCAGATCCTTTTTTTCTGGAATTTAGCTGTCAAATCGATTCAGGTTCATTGCTTTGTTCTTTTGTACACAGTTCTGCTTATGATGTCGCAAGGGGTTCAGACTTGACAGTTTTTTTTACGTCTTGAAAGCATGTACTGTGGGGAAGGCCAGTGGATCATGTCTGGAAGCCAGTGAGACAAATCGCTCTGAGAGGGTTTGCAGCACTTATGGATTTGACCTGATTGTTCTAAAGCAAAGAAGATACCATATAGGTATTTCAGCTGTGTATTTAGATGGTTCCTTTTATTGTGACCCTAAACTCAGGAGTTAAATCTTACTAATACATTCAAGTACATTAACTATTAATAAAAATGTATCTTATTTGTGTATCACTCGGCTGTAGATCCTCAAATCATCTCTGAATTGGTGCCGACACTGTCCTTCCTGCTGGAGGGTGGCTGCTTTTCTTCCCCATCGTCCCTGCGTGTGTTGTAAAGTAGCTACTGCTTGATATTCGCTCTTGTGATGGACTACACTCTCATGTTTAGTTTACTAATTTGTATTGAGATTGTAGTCTATCACGGGAGTGAGTTTGGAGCGGTGACTACTTTACAACACACACAGGGATAGACAAATAAGATACGTTTTTGTTGACAGTTAAGGTACTTGAAAATATTTGTAATATTTAACTCCTGAGTTTTTAGTGTCACTTGAAATAAGTTGATCTGTCTTGAGAAGGATACCTAATCATTTCATTGAAATCTTCTGTACCAAAGATAATTATACCCATCTGAATATTGTATTCTCACTAAATTGCTTAAATGTATTCATGTGCTGGGCCCTGGTTCACAAATACGGTTAGCTAGGCCACAGACTGTATGCATATTCCACTGAGATTAATAGCAGAAACCATTTCCATTCTGCGAGGAGAAGTGCTTGTTTCCAGAAAGAGTTAAACTTCTCACACATTCCAGCAATCTGCCAAATAGATACAATAGAAGTACAAGATTTAGAGAAAACCTCTGAATGTGGATCTCCAGAAATGCAGTACTGACGAATCTAAACTTGGGCTATGTTCACACCATGTCCGGAACAGATCTGCAAACGCAGGGCGTTTTTTGCCGCGTTCCGGTGCAGCTTTTCTTTCTTTTTTTTTCAGATTAAAAAGGTGCAGTCCAGTACGTTCCAGTGCGTTTGCATGCATTTATGATGCGTTTACATGCATTCTGGACCTGAGAAAATGAGACGAGCAGTATTTTCTGGATCGTAACGGACTGCGCTGGTGTGAACAGAGCCCAGAAATACCATAGGGATACCTTGGTATGCTTTTTTGGTCCGGGAACAAACTGTTCTGCTCATGACATTATCCAGACCAGATCTGCATGAGTTTCTGCATATGCAGTGCAGTGCTTTTTGATGCGTTCCGGTCCATGTTTTTTTCTTTTTTTTTTTTAGCCTAAAATTGGCTTTCCAGGGCGTTTGCATGCGTTTTTGATGTATTTACATGTGTTTTGGTGTGTTCCAGAGCAGAAAAAATAGGGCATGCTGCAGTTTTTCCACATGCTCTGGAATGAATGCTGTGGTGTGAACTTGAGTCCAAAATACCATTGGAATACATTGGATGCATTTTTGATGCGTTCTGTAACTGCTCTACATCTGCTCTGCACTTGGTGTGAACAAGCCCTTACACATACCACTGTAAAATATGAACTTTTCAGCTTAACCTCCCTGGTGGTAAAATTCCCGCCGGTTCTTCCCCCTTGCGGCGCGGACGCTCGCAAGGGACGGAACCCGGATGCCGGCATCGTCCGGAGGACACAGCGCGGCTTGAGGGACAAGATAAGTAACGCTACGCTGTAATCCCAAGTGTGGCTCGGGGTTACCGCTTATGGTACTGAAAATTAACCCCGAGCCAAACTCGGGAATACCCGAGGAGGTTAATGGCCTGTTCAGACCTTCCCTATTATAAAAAAAGGACATGTGTTTTCTTAAAAACCCATAAAGCATTTTTATTATATGGTGCATTAAAATTTGACAACACTTTATGTGCTTTTTACATGCATTTTGGTACTGACCAATGAGCACTGTATCCCCAGTGGGGGTACTTGCTAGTCATGGGGTGGGGGGTTTTATGCAGCTAAATGTATGAATAGCAGGGGTGGTCAGAGGTGGCAGAATGCTATGGGTAGGTGAATTTTCTCACATTTTGTGACAGAGTGAAATATCATTTAATAAAGGGGAAACTGTTTTTTTTTTTTAAATTTCGGTAATTTTTCCTTAATATAGTAAAAAAATAAAACCCCCAGTGGTGAATAAATACCACCAAAAGAAAGCTCTATCTGTCCCCAAAAAAGGGTATAAAATTCATTTCAGTACAGCGCTGCATGACGGAATAAATGTCAGTTAAAGTACCGCAGCGCTGAATACTGAAAAATGGCCTGGATGGGAAGGGGGTTTAACACCGCGGATGTCAACTGGTTAAAGGAGTTGTGAGGTCCTGTCATATATTATCCTGGTATAACATCAGCATTGTAATAGGAAGACATACTGGAGTTGTTTCTGATAATGCAATGAAAGCTTACTTGAAAAAAATCCCTTTTATGTAGTGAGTGTTGCCTTCTGTCTGCCCATCATTTTCATCAACTTCCTGGATTCCCAGTGTGCTTTGTGTCTCTTTCCCTGCTGCTTGATGTAATGTAACCTTTATTTCTCAAAACCACATATCCCATCATGAATTGCTTCCAGCAAGCAATGAAAATGTTACATTGTTCAGACGTTGAGTTGTAGTCCAGAAGGCAGGCTCGGTGAGAGTGGTGACACATCGAAGTGCATATTCACAGGGCTGAGTGAAATTGTGTCAGTGCATTGAGGAAGTCCATCCTATGGGAAATCTTCAATAAGTAAGTTTACAAACTTCTAGATTAATGTGGTTATTAGGAATGGGATACAACTCAGGGAAATTCAGTACAGAAATACGAATGTATTTTTATTTTTTGACTATTGATACACTCTAAATGTGTCACCATTGACTATAATGTAGTCACTGGTGCCTAACCGTTAACAAAAAAACTGCCTTAGTCTGTTCCCGGGGACCAAATTATTCCTTCTTTGCTTGTGCTGCCATTTTACCTCTCCCACAGAACAGGGAAGGTGAACAAAACACACCTCTGCCCTTCCTGTGGCAGTCACAAAAACGTATGTAGATGATATGAAGTCATGAAGATGAAAATGTTGAGCTTAGGGTAACGGGAGGATGCTAGTTTGTGTCCTCCCGTTACCCTAAGGAGAACTATGGGGAAAAACACTGACCCCATAGTTCTCCTTTAAGCTACTAGCTTTCAAAATAAATTTGCGTATAAGGGACAGAGATTTTTTTAATGGTATTCATTTTATTTATTCGTTTTGCATATATTCACAATACATTAACACAGAATAATATATCATCGAAAAAAGAACAACTGGGCCAGATATGTTTAGTCTGCTTAGGTTGCACATTGGGGAAAGAAGTGTGTTTGAAACAGCTGATGGAGCGGATTTTGAATGTGCCACTATGATACATTTTTGGGGAATAGAAATATTCAGGGTAAAGACCTTTGGTCAAGTCATCCTTTAATAAATGCTCCCACCCCTTTTAGTGGCGTCAGCCTGATCCAGTATTATACTTTGCCCTCTTCCAGTGATATTCCCTCCGACATGGTCAGCTCTACTTCATACTGCCCATGTGCATCATGGCTCCATCCATTCCAATTGGTAAGCCATACTGTGAATGCTGTGTTGGCATTTGTGTTCTTCACGTCCTATAGAGCACACATATTCCATTTTATTTATATTTGTCGAGACCGAGCGCAACTCACTTGCGATATAATAAGTTCACTCACACACATAGTTGCGGCTGGTCGAATTAATTATTTAGTTATTTAGTTTTCACACCTAGCGCAGTGATTCTTGTATTACTATTTGTGTACCTATGCCCAAGTACAGAGATTTCTGTCTGTACATTGCTATGGATAGAAAACTGCTGCCGCTCCTGTGATCCGCAAATCAAGATTTATGTTATGCTGTATGAAAATACGCCTGTATTTGCTCTACAATAGCTGGGGGTGAGGGAGTTCAGATGTCATGATAGACGTAATAGTTTTTTTGTGTTTTCAGTATTGATGAGACTGAGTTCATTCAAGCCCACTCAAAACTGCGACTGCCACCCCCTTCCAGGCTAATGAGTGGCGGCGGTTGCGGTGGGGACATTCCCCACCCTTTGTGACATATGTCTGCGTGGGAATGCACCTGCCAACACTGATTGGGTTGGGAAGAGGGGGTGAGCGATCTTAGGCAAACTCAGGGCTTGGTTCACACCAAGCCCAACCTCATCATTGGTTTTCAACCCGATGAATGATATGAGCTTTATAAAAAGGCAACACCAAAATATAAATATTATCTACGAACGGTCTATTAAAAGGTCTATAGTAGGGTTGCACAGATACCAAGTACAGTACTCGGTACAAGTACGAGTACATGTACCGATACTTTTGAGCTCCAAGACTACACTAGAGAAAAATTCAAAAAATTAGGAGGCATCTGTCATTTGTAAGGAGCACACGGAGCTCCCGGGGTTTGTACATCTCTGTTTTAATGTACGATTTTGTTTTTATAAATAAAGGGATGCACAGATACCAGTTTTGCGAGTACGAGTACCGGTACTTGCCGAGTACTTACAAGTACGAGTACTGATACATTTTTGTTTATTGTCATGTGACAGTTTTTTCTGAAACAATACAGACTAATGATTTCAGGACAGTGGTGGAGTGCCAGAGCCAGGTCCCAGCTGCAACCCCTGCAACCCTGGTAGTTCTAATGAAAATGCCAAGTATCTTCACTAGTACTCGAAAAGTATCTGTGCATCCCTAGTCTATAGTATAGGAATGTGCCAGGAATATTTATTTTATTATTTGTTTTCATATTGTGATTTGAATGTTGAATCTAAGCCCTCACAAGGAGGTGCGATTTGGTATTCCTGTGTCAGGAACTTGCGATTTCCTGCAGCAGGAATTCCAAATCTTCTATTTACTGGCGGCAGCTGTCACTCCAAGTTCAAGTTAATGATTGGGTGATAAGGGCTGAATTTTAAAGAGGCAGAACTCTGGCACACCACATGTAATTGTATGTAATCATATGTGATACGATTACATGTGGTTAGGAATCAGTCACTATCCCTGGATGCATCAATCGTGTGATTGATTCCTAACCACACGTAATCGTATCCTATATAATTACACGCGGTGTTCCGGCGTTCAAATGCAGTGGTTGTCATCCGATCATTAACATGAGTAGGTGACAGCTGCCAAGCAGTTAGCCAGCAGTTTTATTTTATTCTGGTTTCTTACAGCAAAACGTAGGCTGTTGTTGTACAGTTTCAGCTTTTACTGTGAAAAATACGGCAGCAAGAAAATGGGTCATTGGTTTTGTGACTTGCGACCCTGGTTGTACTGTACTGCTCAACCCTATTTTACTCACATGCTAGAAGATGGATATAAAAGTAGTCACAGGACAGCGGTAGTTGCTAGGAGACAACGTGAGTGTGAAATGTCATTAACGTGCGTGAAAAGCTGCACATGAAAACCTGTGTCACCGACTCTAGAAACGCTAATTACTGCACCCAGGACATAGTTATTGTGTGAGTGGTGTAAACATGACCGGTTCAATAAACGCAGAATAAATGTCCTTCAAATCATATCACTTCGGCCTACTTTAATGTATCTCCTCATAAATCAGTACTCTGCATTGGGCTCATCCTACATTTTCTGAGGTAATTGTGAGCCCCGCAGGAAAGCGGCATATTAGATAAATGAGTAAGTGGTGGTGCTCATTATACCCAACCAGGGATTTTGTTTGTTTCCACCAAGGACAAAACCCTGGTCTCCATCTGGATAAGAGCAGCTGCACACTTTCCTTTGTGTTAGCTGTTATATAGAACTGCAGATGGGTCCCATGTGTTTTCTGTATGGGCAAGAGCCAATGTTGCCCATAGGAACGAGTCCAATTTGATATAATTCCTAACCAACATGTAAAAATACCAGCAATAGTTCTTCTTCAATTACAAACTTTTGAATACATGAAACCTATGTATTACAAGTGATGTCATGGGAGAAACATGGAGACTGCAATTGCTTCTGAAAATTCCACCTGTCTGACTGTCATATTGACCCACTTGCTTCAATACTTTAACTCAGCGACTTGAAGCAAATTTTAGTATGTGAATTTCTGACTTTCCTGGCCTGCAATATTAAAGCTACGGGATTAGCATCACAGCCAGGCCACCAGCATTTTCACATGACCACCATTGGCGGCCTCTGTGTTTCTTTCCTGGTCTAGGGATAGTTGTATTATCCTTTTCCAACGTTGGTGTAGTAGTTAATGTTCTTGCAAGTTTACCCTTGTATACTTTTAACAGTAATGGGATTTTTTTTTTCTTTTTACAGATTCCAGGAAGGAGAAGGATTTGCGGGGAGCTTTAAGAGCTGAAGTTGAAAGGTTATGATTTTACCAACAAGATTTTACGTTTTACTGGGCAGACTTTTGAAAATTGGAGAAACTGTGGGACATTGCTGACAGAATCCAAACAGTTTTATCTGTCAAATTACACACATTATCTTATTGAGTGTTTTCAGCCATAGTTCAGCTTTGTTTCACATTTGATTTCACAGCCAAAACCGGCATTGATATTCCAATCTGTGTATAAGTACCCATCTGAGTATTTACCATTGAAACAAATTATTTTAGTGACTAAGGGCTCATTCACACGGGCGTGCATGTCCATGCAGCATGCACATCCGTGCAAAGACCCGATCCTGGGAGGGACAGGTGCTGCATGTAATAACCTACTAGTTCTAGTGACCAACTGAAACATTTCATGACTTCTGAGTTCTGACTTCACTCTGCATTTACTCGCTGCATGCTTATTCTAGGTCATTCATTTAGATATTATTAAAGCCACAGAAAGCCAGAAAATTATAATTTTAATGTTCATTAATTTTATTGAGAAACATTTTCAAGGTTACTTTGGTTGCCAAAGGACAACTTGTCATTTTTAAAAGGATGTTGGCAGGGTCAGTTGAATTGTTTTCTAGTATTGGTGTTTTTGTGTTGCTCTCCTCTGTCTGGATTTACAGGTCACATAAAAAAAGCATTGGAAATCATTTCTTCTGAATGAAAATCTGTATTGCTAAATGAACTAGTTGCCTTAGAACAGTTTACCCACATTGCTTGTAATGATCTTGTAATTTCATCAAAAGAAGGAATTCAATAGAAAATGAAATTGTAATCGTGGTCATATTTTCTACTGGTTTCATGGATTAAGTGACTTTTCTTGGTAGGACATTTTATTTAAATTGTGAGTATTGTCTGTGGTCTTTTGAGGTTGCAAAAAGCCCTCACATTTCCTAATCAAAAAGCAAAAAAAACCCGAAAGAATGAATCTAATTTGAAGAAAGTATTGTATCTTGGGATTTAAGTGGATTCAATTTAGCAGAATTTTAAAAGGCTTGAACTCAACAATATTATTGTTTTCTGCTATTTTAGGAAATTGAATAAAGAAGATGTTGTTATTCTGGATTCCCTCAACTATATTAAAGGTGACTTAATTTTGCTAGTGTCTTCTGGTTAAGATATTGTAGCAAGCACGATTAGATTAACAATTTGTAGAAGCATGGGGCCACTGACTCTTTAACCTACTAACCGTATGACAGAGTTTTCATGTCTCATGTTATCGGCCTGCTCCACTTTAGGGCATGTGTAATCTGAGATCATTTTATTTTTTATTTTCCTATGGTTCATTGATATCACTGGTTTGCTTTTGCCTGTGAATTAATTTGATATCACACTTAAATTTACAATTCATTTTAAAGCAAATCTAATCTGGCCTGAAAAGTACTTAGGTTAATAACAGTACTGATATGCAGGCACATTGTGGTGTCTGCAAGTACCTTAGTTAGCCTTCAGGTCATGGTCCCCTTGGAGGCCCTTGAAACCTAGGGCCAGGCTGGTTTTTAACCAGTGCTAGGCTCTATATGCTAGCATTCAACTCTGAAATAAGCCCAGCTTAGTTGCATAGCACTTGTGTGCCCTGAGGTCTGGGGATGTTCTTGGACACACTGTTGGTTTGCCACTGTGATGGGCAGCCTAACTAGCCAATAGTGTGATACAGAAGGGGCCAGAGCCATGATTAGAATGACTGGTTAATATATCAGAGCATTCCCAGAATTTAGGACACAAAGGTACTCGGCCTAGCTGAGTCTATGTGCGGATGCAGTGGGGTTTCTCTGTGCAGTGTCAGCGGCGGTTTACACATTTTTATGTCAATTCTTGTTCACTTTTGAAATCTCAGCCCACCCAAAATTGCAATTTCATTTTTGTTTCCGAAGTTCTCCATCATTGTTGGAGGGGGTTTGGGGACTGACTTGACCTCTGAACATTGACTTGATGGTAACCTCAAATGCTGAGACATTAGATTAGTAAATTGATCAATCGATGTAACCTCTTAGTTAATGGAACCAGGCAAATAATGATAATGAAACAGACAGCAGATGGTAACTAAATATTCAAATCCGGTGGGAGCAGATAACAAGTACCACTTGCAGTCAATTACATTAAATATTTTATCTAAAGTATAAGTAGGCTTTGTTCCTGCTACCTGCTTCACTCTTAATAATGTAATGACCCAGTTATTTCATGAACTTTAGCCTTTTGATATAGTTCCCTTTCAATTGCCCTCTGCATGAAAACATCCATCTAATGACTCCAGGGGCTGCGCTAGCTTTCAGGTTTATCATGTAAACGTGGTTCATTTTATCTTTTATTTATTTTAGGTGTATCCATTTTCCCCACACTTATCAGAGGCAACCCTTTTTGGATTGGGCAAATACTCAAAAAAATATAGCCTATATATAACTCAGTACAATGAGGGGAATTTATCAAAACTGGAGCAGATCGGATCTGGAGCAGCGGTGCATGGCAACCAATCAGCATCCATTTCCTTCATTTTCAAACCCTAACTGAACAAAATGAAGAGAGAAGCTGATTGGTTGCCATAGGCATCTGCTCCAGATTCTTCTGCTCCAGTTTTAATATCACTGCCAGGCTAACTTTAGAGTGCAGTGACCTTTTGGCAACCAGTAACTCGAGTGTTTATTGTGCAGTGAAATATTAAATGATTGTTGTTATGGGTTACTGCTCTTTGCACATTGAGTTTTGCCTTTTTAAAACATCCCTCTTTTTGCATGCACTTAAAGCGACACTAAACTCAGAGTTAAATCTTACAAATATATTCAAGTACTCTAACTATTAACAAAACTGTAGCTAATTTGTGTATCACTCGGCTGTAGATTCTCAAACCATCCCTGAATTGGTGCTAACACTGTCCTTCCTTCTGGAGTGTGGGTACTTCCCCATGGTCGCTGTGTGTGTTGTAAAGTAGCCACTGCTCCAATCTCGCTCCCGTAACAGACTACAATCTCAATACAAATTGGTAAACTAAACGTGAGATTGTAGTCAATCACGGGAGCAAGCTTGGAGCGGTGACTACTCTACAACAGTGTTCCCCAACCCCCGGATCAAATGGTACCGGGCCGCACAGTCTCAGTGCGGTCCGGTCATGCAATATATGGCAGTGCACGGTCCCGGTGTTCGAACGCCGGGGCCCTGCACTGCCGACGGGCTTCACAGTGAGGGGGCGGGTCCTGTGACTCACCTCCCCTCCCGGCCGCGTCTATGGTAACAGGCGGCGGGAGGTGAGTCACAGGAGACGTGTTTGTGTGTCACACGCCCTGCCCCGCCCCCTGCAGTGAGTGCACACATCGACACATGGCTGCTGCTCCTGGAAGGGTGAGTCTGAAGGGGGGGTGTCTTCCATCATGTCATTTGACGTGGATTATAATGGGGAATATTACACTGTAATGTTCCCTATTATAATCTATTTCTCTGTTATGTACTGCTATTTTATGTAATTAGAAAAGTGGATTATAATGGGGAATATTACACTGCAATGTTCCCTATTATAATCTATTTCTCTGTTATGCACTGCTATTTTATGTAATTAGAAAAGTGGATTATAATGGGGAATATTGCACTGTAATGTTCCCTATTATAATCTATTTCTCTCATTAAATGATTACAGGTAGGCATGTGATCTATCAAAGTTTGAGACTACGTTAGAATGTGTGACCAGTGACGTGGTCACACATTTTAACGTAATCTCGCCCAGTTTTTAGGTGGTGGAATAGGTGAAGAATTCCAACGCTTTAATTTTTTGGTGTAACTGTATTTTATTTTATTTTGAAGGCATTTTTACAAAATACAATTAAATTAAAATTATTAAATCAAAACAATCTAAATATAAACAATCAACTTCCCCCCCCCTCAGCGGGCCACGGTACAATTATCAAATGTTGACCGTTGACCCTCCAGAAATGCTTTGTGGAGGACCCTTGTAAGATTAGAGATGCTCCTTGGGTTGTGATTGATCGAGTATCGATCTTTCGCATTTACAATAGAGTTTACTGTACTGTAAACTCCCATGTATTCGGTACCCAAAGGATCGGTAGGTGCAGGATAACTGTAGTTTCTGGTTGCTTGAGAGTTAACAGAACTCTCAAGCAACCATCCCAGAGGGGCTCCTCTTCCCCATTCACCTGCTGGCTAGTTTCCGCAGCCAACAGGTGAATGTAAACAGCCAGGAGCCATAGCCAGGAGTGATGGTGTTTCTTTATCAAAACTGCTCCACAAACAACAACATATCTGCTAAAAAAAGCTTTGCAATAAATAATGACCCAAATTTTAGAAGGATATTGCATTGAATAAACCATTATTTATTGTTAGGATAATACAGGGCTAGAACGAAAAAATACTTTGGTTATTAAACATTTAACTTATATTTTAAAAAAATGATTTGGTATGGAGGATTTTATGGGCCTTAACAACATCATTTTATACCCTGAACACCATTTCTTTTTTTATATAATCTTTATTTAAACAATCTTTTTATAAACACAAGAACAAATACAAACAAGGGGTCCAGATGTGAGTTCCAACATGATATTCAAAAGAACATATAAGTGATGAAATCAGCGCTATTAAAAGGTTCCCCATCTAGACAAAGGGTGACTCAATGCAAAGTAGCATATGATCATTACAAATAAAAAGATTGCTAAAGGGCAATAACCCCCCCCCCCAAAAAATAAATATCACATACTTAACAGTCCCAAGCGGAGGATCTCAAGGCAGAAGACTAAAAAAAAGATAAAGCCAAATCATCACCAAAAAGCTATAGAGATAGTGTTACTGGTAAGCACAATATGGTGAGATTAAATTACATTTCTTTCATGGCGTAGGTGAACCCGTATCTAGAGTAGAGGTATAATGGATCCACATGGCCCATTTAGCATAGAATTTATCATATCTATCATGGCAATTGCCCACCCATTTCTCTGACTCCTGAAAATTATTCACAATGCCAATCCAGTCTGGTAGGGACCCCTATCTGTTTCCAGTGAATGGGTATTAATCTGCTAGTTGCATTGAGGTGGTGCTGCAAAACACTAGTCTTATAGTGGTTCAAATAAATTGATGGGAAGTGAAACAAGCAATATACAGGATCATCAGGTAGATCAACATCTGCTATGATCTTTATCTGAACGCGAATATCTTTCCAGAATAACTGGATTTCAGGACATTCCCACCACAAATGCAATAAAGTACCCATCGTACCACACCTCCTCCAGCACAAAGGAGAGACAGATGGATACATCACCCCAAGACCAAAAGGGGTCAGATACCAGAGAGTTAGGAGCTTATAGTTAGTTTCTTGCATCTTAGAATCAACAGAAGATTTGTGGGTAAGGTTGAAAATATAAGTTAGTTGGTCAGTAAAGCAACGGTTCAAATCTCTCGCCCGTTCCCGGAAAAATCTTAGCCGACCTCAAGACCTGAAAGATAACAATACCTTATAAATAAAGAGAAACAAGTCCACCAGGAAGCTCCCGAAGTTGCACATAGTGACTCAAACTGGGTAAGTGAGGACATGGGTCGAAGTTTAGAAGCTGTCTAATTTATATTAGATGAGTATTGAGTTTGTATACTTGACATACTTAATTACTAAGACATGCATTATTTATTTGTTATCTTTTTCCAGGATACAGATACGAGCTTTTCTGTCTTATAAAACATGTCCAGACTCCACACTGCCTGGTATGTCATATTAATGTGTTGTATATGTACGGTACACAATTCTTATTGCTTGTAATAAATTGTGTAATTTAACTTGTGTTACATTTTAGTTTTATTTGTAGCTTTAACTGTATTTATATTTTTAAATAGAACTAGTACCTAGACAGTAGGGTTGAGTTACTAAGGCACTAGAAACTGTTCAGTTATCAAAGTGAACGTTCTCTGAGCTTAGTAAGTAGGATAAAGCTGTGATTTTGGTGGCACTGGGCACCTTGCAGCTCACTGGAGTTATTGATGTTGATTATAAACCACATGGCATTTTTATTACTTGTCTTCATGCCCCTTGTATGGGTGTGAATAATTTGTCCTCTCAATTAGCTATAACAATCTTGAAGTTTCTACTTGACCTACTGATTTACAATGGATATTTCTATTAGCACCTGCATTTCCTATAGACCTGTATCCTGAGATGTCATCTTGTCTTTGTATAGATTTTAGACCTAATGAGCTCCATTTTGTTATTTGCTTGGTGTGTTTCTGAACCTAAGGAGCTAGCTTACAGGAAACTGTGAAAGGTGATAATGAAATGGTGTGAATCCAATACTCTGTGTTCCTGCAGATCAACTGTGTGACAGCCCCAGACGTCAGTTCCACCTGGAATAAGGACAGACAGTCAGATGACCAATATACACAAGACATGTAAGTGCTGGGGAACAATACTTATGGAAGTGTGCCAGCAGTGTGCATGGCAATCCAAAAAGTAATCTAATGTGAATATGTAGGATGTATTCTTTAGATTTAATCCTACATTTGTACAATGAAATATCTGATGTTAATGGAAGTTGGAAGGCAAGCATGCTAGATCAAGCAGTTGACTGAGCATCAGTGTCAGACGGCAGGTGATCCATGACCCTGATACCCAAACTGAATGGTCAGATACCTAACTGAAGTATATGTAAACTTCAACAATGAGCTCCTCTTCATATTGGCTCCACTTTGGTCTGTTAAATATAATACTGGAAGCATTTTGTAATATCTGTCTGATAAAAGAAAATAACCTGTTGGTCAAGTCAGAAATTCACAGCTATCCTGTGCTCTGCTTTTGTTATCTCAAAGAGTCTATTTGGCCCTCCTGGTTCTTATCTTGTATTACAGAATGATTAGCCTTTGGCCCTTTTTTACACAGAGATTCTGATCAGGTCTGCCTCTCAGTATTTCAGGCATATTTGATTGGAAGCCCAATGTTAGCCTATGAGTAGTCGGATGTAAATGGGCGTGCATTACTTTTTATCTGATTGCCCCCTTTATTTTGTAGAGATCTGAGTGTGAGAGTGGTTGAATAACAACACTGGACAGAGCTAACACTGCTCAGTTCACAAAAAGCTGTGGTTGTCAGCCCACAATAGTGCTTGAGAGTTGAATGCATTTCTGCCAGATAAGCCGGAATTTGCTGTACTTGCAGGGCCTTTAAATGGATAAAAAATTAGATATGTGCATGTATTGCAGAGATGTACTACATTCAGTGGCATAGCTATCGCCTTGGCGACCCCAGTGGCCGATATGGGGCCCGGTGCACAGGGGGGCCCAGCCAGGACGAAGAACAAAGGGGTACCCCTGATGCTGTGCGGGCCGCCTGGGTAGCTATGGCATCACAGGTTTCTGGCTGTCATTGGCGGCTGTGAGGAGGAACGTGTCGCTGTCAGTGATCTGTGCAGCGGCGCATTCCTCCTTACAGCAGCTGCGGAGGAGGAAGCTGGTCCTGGCGTTGGCAGCAGAGGAAGAGGCGGGGCCTAACGATGGAGAAGGAAGTGGGGCCCGCTAGCGACCATGGGGCCCGCTAACGGAAGCATTTTTAGCTGTGCCCTCCACATGAAACCAGTATACTTTTAAGTTGTTTTAAATCAGGGGTGCCCACAATTTTTCGTCTGGAGATCTACTTTTCAAATGACGAGCTCATTGAGATCTACCAACAAAAAAACACCTGCATTCAGGAGCGGGAGGGGGCGTGGCGTTGAAGTAAATGGCACAGCAGCCAGGCTCCGCAGGCAAGCCCCTCGCCCACAGTGCGATCGCCTGCATTAGTGCCTGTGTTCCAGTCCAGTGCGATCCGCAAAAATGATGCAAGCACTATTTTTGCAGATCGCATTGGACCATTCCGGTGCCTGCGTTCCGGGTGCGGGCGATCGCACTGTGGGCCATCGGGTAGGGGAGAGAGAGGCGCCGGCTGTCGAGGAGAGGACATCGCGATCTACCAGTGATCGCTACGCGATAGACCTTGTGAGCACCCCTGTTTTAAATGGTCCTCTGGGGCTTGCCTCGTCAAGTCATTCATTACAATACATGTTGTAAAATGTATCTTTCTCATTGTCTGGCTATTAGTGATACAAAAATGTTGTTTTCAGAGTGACAATATTTTAAACTATCGTTTTAAATATAATTATTACTTGAAATTAACAAGAATGTTCCCTTTTCTTTACTCGCCCGCAGTCTCTTCATTTGTTTTCTGAGACTGACGGGGAAGGGGAAAAAATTTATAATTTTGCCTTGGAGGCAGACAGAGAATAATTCATTAGGAGCAGTTTTAACATGCGGCGCTTCGTAAGCCTCTCTCTGGGGGGTTGTACAGATTTCTGAATTGGTTAGTTCAAAGCTGCCATCAACGGCTGCTAGAATTCTTGTACGTCTTTTATTTCAACAAGAAACTCGTTGAATTGCAGATGAGGAGGAAAGATTTTCAGATGTTTAGAGATTAGTTTGAGGCAACAAGAATACCAAGTCATTTTTAGTTTTTCTAAAAAAAGCAGTTTCAAAAACAATTAAATTACTTTTCCTTTAGTTAATATTGAATGCAATTATGTTAACAAACTTGTTTCCAGAGTGTAATAGTGTTGTGCGCATAGAAAAGTCTGATGTAATCATTCCTGTTGGTGATGCTACCCCTTAATTCAGGTACACTGACTATGAATTCTATGTACTTTGCAAGTGTTTTAGTAATGCACAACCGTGCTACAAATGGCAGAGTGTATGTATTTAATGGAATTATTCCTTTAGGTGAGCAAATGCAGGAATAGCTTAGTATGAATGACTTATCCAGGCACAAATCGGATGTAATACATTTTACCTGGGAATAGCCATTTATTAAATGGAAATCCGCTATTGAATGTTTGAAAACTAGGTTCATGGAATTGAATTGGATTAAACAATGGCGTCCATATATTTATTGTGAAAGTGCATTTACAATATAATACTGCACAGTGTTTCATGAAGAAAGATATTAATTATATTTTACCAGTGCTTGTCCAGTCCATTCCTCATTGTCATTAGATTTTTAAACAATTTGACAAAGACCTAGTTCATTAAGCAAATTGAATGTGAGCCTAAACATCCTAGACTGTATATACAAGCACTAAAGGTCTGGAGTCAGATAACCCTACCATTACTTTGGCTAAGGGCAGATACTTCATAAAAATGACAGGCAATGGCAAATCTGCCCATCATTGCTGGAATTGCTGGGATCTACAGTATATTAGTCTGATACCGAACCTGGCTGCTGAATGGATGCACTGCACACAAAGGGAAATGTTTAATCCTCTTTCTACATAAAAAAGGAGAAAATTGGCATTCAGCCATGCAAAAGTCTGACATTTGTAAGCACTAATTATAACTGTCTTGTTTTTACCCCTGTGAGGCTTGATTGCTGTAAGCAATGCTGCAATCTTTTGCATCTGTAGTCTTTATGCATTTTTTGCCCCATCTCTCAATAGTCTTATAAAATCCAGAACAGATATGTAAAATGGTAAATGCAAAGAAGACATTAGTACCTAATAAATATTGCAGTCTCTCCCCCTAAAGCCACTGGGCATTATCAGCTATCAGAAGTGTAGAAAAGTAGGGCGTATAACTCCTCTTCTCTGATATCCGCCTAGACGGGTGCCACGAAGTTTGGAGACTGAACTTTTGCATATAGTTACATAGTATTTGAGGTTGAATAAAGACATTAGTCCATCAAGTCCAACCTATAAACCATCCATAGAAAGTGTTCTCTGTACATGTACTATAATTTGGGTATTTTTGAACACAGATGTGAAGAAAGAAATTGGCTAAGGATGCCTACATGCACATACAGCCCTTTCAGGAGAAAAAGTGGGTTCTATAAATTCAGTACTTTATAGACAGTTCTCAGTGCTGCAAAGAATAGAGCTGTCATTGACATATTCAAGCAGCAGTCTTTACAGCATTGTACTTTGATTCTAGTCTGTGTGATGATGCACCCTTAGGAGACATCCCGTGACAGAATGTGACAGCCTGGGCAGACTGGGCCTTATGCGGCCTGGAAGAGGCATGGCTCTGCAGGAAGGAATGAAACATCCGTGGATGACAGCGCTGGGGAGAAGACATGTATTACAGCTGAAGCTACATTTTAAAGTCCATGGGTCAAAGGGAGAAGGAGCCTCATTTATTATATAATGCTGGAGTTGGGGTTAAAGTGACATTAAACCCTCAGATTTTTTAACATAAAACAATACTGTAATGTGTGCCTTACTGTAATCCATGGTTGTTTCCCTTCTCTTTGCTGCTCTTCCTTTTAAATCTGTATCTGTTCTCATGCTGGGCAGAACTTCTGTTTTGCAGCTGACTGCCTTGTCTCTGGAATGGATACATGGTGTCTGTGTGAAGGTTCACAACCTGAGCCAGCACTACAGGAAGAGGCACTCAGCTGCAAAGGGAAGTTCTCCCCCAGCATGAGAGGAGAGAAGGATTTAAAAGGAAGAGCAGCAAAGAGAAGGGAAACTACCATGGATTACAGTATTGGTTTATGTAAAAAAATCTGAGGGTTTAATGTCACTTTTAAGCCTTGCTGTAACCTCCCATCACACAAAACCCTAAAATGTAACCTAATCCTTAAAACGATATCTTAACCTTCCTCTAACAAGCAACAGTGAAAGGAAATGCTGAACCCTACCCCATTATTTAACGCTTAACCTAATGCTGAAAACTAACCCTTAGTAGTTAGCCTTAAAGGGACAATAAGCTCAGGAGTTAAATCTTCAAAATGCATTCAATTACCTTAACTATTAACAAAAATGTATCTTATTTGTGTATCACTCAGCTGTAGATCCTCCAATCATCTCTGCATTGGTGCTGACACTGTCCTTCCTCCTGGAGGGTGGCTACTTTTATTCCCCATGGCCCCTGTGTGTCCACGCTGGGAGGAGGGCACAGCAAGCAGTGGGCGGGTGCAATAGCCAGCCTGCTATTGCAATTTGAAATGCAATTTCAATAGCAGGCATGCCATTGCACCCGCCCACTGCTTGCTGTATTTACATTCAGCTGCCGCCTGTGGAATCTTGCCACTGGCAGCTGTCATTCCCTGGTTGAAGCTATTCATGTGCCATGTGCTTACATTACAATTATTGAAAAATTTTTTTTAGAAAAGGTGGGAAAAACGTCATTTTCGGTTTCGGCCTGACAAATTCTGCTGCAGGAAGTGCGTTGTAGTACCATTTATTTAAATGGCACCTCAAACGCGCCTCCCACCCGCAGTGCGATCGCACACATTGAAACGCACAGTACCACAATGCTGTGCGTTCCATGCAGTGCAATTGCTAAAAATTGTGCATGCAGTTTTATTTTAAAGTAAACTTTATTTGTAAGACTCCATTTGTGTATTTTATTTTAAATTAAGGATGGGATTTATTTAATTTTTGTTATCTGATTAATTGAAAAAATTATCTGCCAACTATTCGATTATGAACATAATCATTAGCTGTAGCCCTAGTTGGAGTGGTGGCTAATTTACAACACACACAGGGACCATGGGGAACAAAAGTAGCCATCATCCAGAAGGAAGGACAATGTAAGCATGAATTCAGAGATGATTTGAGGATCTACAGCCGAGTGATACACAAATAAGATACATTTATGTTAATAGTTTAGGTCCTTAATGCATGTTAAAGATTTAACTCCTGAGTTTAGTGTCACTTTAAGTGTATGTCAAGGCAAAATAAAAATAAAATGTAGTACATCTGCTATACATGCACATTTCCATTGATTTATCCCTTTAAAAAGACCCTGCAGGTACAGATAAATACATACTTGCTAGAAATGTTCTCAGCTTCTAAGTCCTGTTGTGGGTGTCAGTTCTGACCAGTTGTCTTTTGCTAAACTACTCAGCCACTTCTACTCTCACTTGTGAATAGGAAGTGCACACAGAACAGTTCAGATTTTATGAGCATTTATCAAACAGAAATAAAAAAAAAATGCTTCCAACACACCAAAGAGTTGCAAATAAGTGAAGTTTAAAGTTAAGGTCTACATACATTAAGTGTGTGCATACACAATCCTTGGGTTCTCACCTGCCTTGGGGCAGACAGGTGGGGAGTCCGGAAACCAAAATAAATGTTTCCAATTTTATAATATATAATGCCAAACAATATGAAAAAGGATGATTGAACTATGTGTCTGAACAAGTTTTTATGAGACCCTTATGTCACAGTTCTATATAACTTTAGAAACTATAATAGTGTGGCTTAATTTCATATATGCATTTTCTTGACAGACTTGATGGCTTGATACAGAGATTTGAGGCTCCTGATTCCCGTAATCGATGGGATAGTCCCCTCTTTACTGTACAGAAGGATGATGTACTGCCATTGGAACAGATCTGCAATGCAATTTTCCACAGAAAAGCACCCCCACCCAACCAATCCACACAGACTGTAAGTAATACACCCCTGCTCCTTTTACTGCATCCATGTAAGATGATTCTGTAACTGGTTTCTTTTTTAAAATATGATGGTTTTACTTGGATAAAGTTAATAGATCATTCATCTAAAGATAAGTAATGCCTGCTGTTATTTGCCTTTTCCAGAAAACCTCACCTGATGGTGCTTCCAAATTGAGTTCCTCAATGCTTTCTCTGAGCTCTGCCCATCTGCCAACCCTCCGTCCAGTAAGAGTGTTGTCCAATGAGCACACTTCTACTGGACAGGTGGCTGGGGAAGACATCTAACATAGTTCTGGCCATACACAGATCGAATTTTGGCCACTTTCTGTTGAATCTCTGGTGCCACCATCCAGCTCAACTTTTATCAAAAGAAGAAAATTGTCAGCCAAACAGTGGCTGCAGCCAGTCTACTGCCATCACTGTGCAGGTATTCTGACAGCTGGATGTCAGAATACAAAAGCCATCAGGGGAGATTCCTCTATCCATGCTTTTTAAGAATGGATGAGGAAATCAAGTGTATGACCAGCTTTAGAGTATTCATATATAAGTCCATGCTCTAGAAGAAGTTAAAGGAAACTAGTGTGGAAAGAAACCTGGAGACTCCCATTGCAAACCCCCTAAAAAATGCTAACTGTTGTCATGCAGATCCTCTGACTGCAGTACATTTTGCGCCTTTTAATCAGAACAAGCATGCAACTAATTTAATTTTGAAATAGAGTGTTGCAGGTTGGAGATTCAGAAAGCCATTAGAGCTGCATGACAAGCTAGGCAGCTGTCATTTTTTAGAAGAAGATGGCAATGGCAACCTCCATGTTTCTTTCCGCACAGATTTCCTTTAACCTATAACTGTCTGGTGGGCATAGGCTTATGGTCTATGATCTGTGGTAAAATGCTTCAGTGGTAAAATGCTTCATGCAACAAAATTCAGTGTTTTGTAGTGAATACACTAAATTATATTGAACATCTTAGATACTTTAAATGTATGTACTAAAATAAGACATTAAATGAGGGCAGGTTTTGGTATTTTGATATCCGTTGGTCTTTATTTACGAATAATTTTTTTATATACATACATGTGATTTGATGTATTTTTCTCCTAGATGTGTTATTTTTGTTTTGTTTTTTTTCTTTTCTCAAACAGCAACCTTTGTCTTCCACAAATTTTCTACATGAGTTAGACAAGGTGACACAGGACGTGGTGACTGTGAGTGTCCAATGACTGCATTTGTTTTGTACATACACGTTGAAGGTGACCAAGCTGCTTATATCAGAGTCTTAACACGGTTGTTTGCTGCACCCTTTAACTGCCTCCGGGCCGGCCGTAGTAAAAAAACGGCCGGCCAGGAGCTCTCTAGATCTGAGCGGGCGTCTTCAGACGTCCGCTCAGATACGCCCCCTTGCGCGCGCGAGCGGGAAATGGCCGCAATTTTAAAACGGGCAGCGATGCCCGTTAATATACATGCGATGCGCCGGCTGTAGAGCCGGCGGATCGCTTGTATTTAGCGACGATCGGTGCGGCCCCCCCCGCCATTCTCCCGCTGATCCCGGGCTCCGCTGTGCCCGGTGCGAGCCCGGGATCAGCATGTCGCCTGTGACACATGGGATCAGAGGGAGCTCGGTACACAAGCTCCCTCCGGTCCCCTCTCCTCTGAAAGAATGTGAAAGTGTTGTATAATACATCACTTCCGCATTCTTGTGTCACTCTCCAGCTTCAGAAGCTGGAAAGAAGCTGATGGAGCAGATCTGTGCTTCATCAGCTTCTTTTGGGGGGTCCTAGGTGACATTAGGGGTCTTGGAGACCCCTGATGTCTCCATAAAGAGGACCTGTCACATATTTTGCTATCACATAGGGGG